CTGTCAGGCGCGGTGGCCAAGTGGTAAGGCGTCGGTCTCGTAAACCGAAGATCGCGGGTTCGAACCCCGTCCGTGCCTGGGACCTGAGGTCGGGGTCTGGCCCTGGGATGCTACCTGTCTCCACGTGCGCCGTCCCCTCTTCTACGCGGCATTTTTTCCTTTTCGGGTTATGTCCAGGCGCCCGCCGGCCCCGCCGGGTCAGTGAACCCGGGCGTGACCTGGGTACCGGGTCCGTCTTGCGGGCGGGCGGGCGGGCGGGCGGGCGAGCCGGCCGGCCTCCGCGCCTCCCATCCCCCAGCCGCACTGCAAGACGCCATCGTCTTCGCTGCCCCACATGGGCACGCCGAGGCCCGAGGGGAAGGGCACGCGCTGGGCGTGGTGTTGCCCGCGGGGACTTCGGTCCCACCCGACTTGCGTGTGTGACGGGCAGGGCACCTTTCCAGAGAGGGTGTCGGAGTTTCTGGAGCGGTGATGTCTGGACTCTTTCTGCTCCTGGGAAGGCGGGTTCTGCCGCCGGCTGCCCTCTTGTCTACAAAGCATCCCGCGTCGTCCAGCTGGTGGGTGCTTCTTCCTTCCCAGCCTGGCGACCTGAGCCTTCGAATCTGGCATATGACACTCCTCGTGTAATATGATCTGAGTACTTCCCATTCCTGGACCCTCTTTTTGACACACTCTCGTCTGTCTGCCCCTCCCTTCAATTGTAACACTCATTGCTGAACATGCTACTCCAAATAGTCTCATGAATGAAACTTCACCGCCCCCATTCTGCACGCATACTTCTGGTAATGTCACCCCCCAAAAAACACATGACCTTTCTTGAGGCCTGTTGCATGTTGGCCATGAGAAGCTTCAGGTGGATTGATTGTTGGCAGTGTCTCAGGTTGTCAGAAGACAGGGTGAAGGGCCCCGGCAGCAGGAAAATAATTGACTTTTCCCCCAAGATTCTTTTTTCTTTTTTGAGTTGGTGTCTCACTCAGTCGCCCAGACTGGAGTGCAGTGGCCACTCCCAGCCACCGCAGCCTCGACCTGCTGGGCTCCGGCGATCCTTCCGCCTCAGCCTTCCGAGTAGCCGGAATTACAGGCATGCGCTACCATGCCCAGCTGATTTTTTGATTTATTGTAGAGATGAGGTCTCGCTGCCCAGGCGGGTCTCGAACCAGCGGGCTTAGGCAATCCAATCACCTCAGCCTCCCCAAGATTCTAATAAACAGAAGAGACCCTCTTGGCTTTTGAAGGTAATGCAGAGCTAGGGTGTCAGTGTCATTATGAAATTGTTAAGAAATACACATCAGGTCCCTTTCTGACAAGTGCCGTAGCCTAGACAGAGTCCATGAAGGAAAAAGTTCCTGCACTCCTGCATGTTGCCTTGAACCCTGTACATTACTCTGAATTCTTGGTGAGAAAGAGCTTCGAGGCTGGACACTGGGTTTCCTTCAGTAGCTGGAGCAGGGAATGCCCCCAACAAGGAGGCTGGGGGAATGAGCCAAACCAAAGGCAACATAAAAGAGGGGCCAGGTACAGAAGATGTCAGTGGGAACTTAGGTTCCCTAAGTGATGGGCCAGAGGCAGCAGGCACATATGGAGTCCAGGTCAAGGTTGGGCAGAGGAGAAAAAAGGGCAGGCAAGTCAGATGCAAGTGCCAGGTTGAGTCCAGGAAGAGAGATCACGCAATGAGCTTGAAGGCTGGTAGGTGTCCACATGCACTCTGTGGAGTTGGAGCCATGTGGTTGGCTTAAAGGGTGAGGTGGAGTGAGGCTGGGTAGGAAGGGACACCTATGGTGAGCTGGCTGCAGGACCTCCATCCAATCCCCTCCCTTTCCTAGACTTCAGACTCCTTAGTTGCAAAATTCTACAGTTGCAAGTGATAGTCTCTAAATGCCTGGTGTCCTGAAATACCTCAGAGCCCAGACCTTGCAGAAGCAAGGGGACCACAAGCTGTCCCACCCATCTCTTTCCTGGTGGCCAAGATGGTGAATCATAGTAGCCCTTTCACAGTAGGGCTTGGTCATTTGACCTCATGATGGAATCTATGTGACCCTGGCTTCTCCATCCAGAGAGGTTTTTATTTTTTGTTTTTTTGAGTCAGGGTCTTACTCTGTCACCCAGACTAGAGTACAGAGGCACAATCACGGCTCACTGCGGCCTCAGTCTCCTGGACTCAGGTGATCCTCCTGCCTCAGCCTCCTGAGTAGCTGGGACTGCAGGTGTGCACCAACATGCCTGGCTAATTTTTTAATTTAGAGACAAGGTCTAGCTATGTTGCCCAGGCTGGTCTCGAACTCCTGGGTTCCTCCCACCTTGGCCTCCCAAAGCGCTGGGATAATAGGCATGAGCTACTGCTCTCAGCTGTCCAGAGAATTCTAATCTGTCCTCCTTGAGGGGTACTGCTGGAGCTGCAAAGGTCCCACCCAGCTGATTTTCTCTGGCTCAGTCCTCCCTTTTGCTCTCCCCAGAGTCTAGAACACAACATAGGCCTCTGGTACTGCAGTTGGAGAGCCACGCAGGCAGACACAGTCATCTGTGGGCAGCTAAAACCTCCATGATATTTTAAAAAATATAATTTGCTTTACATCAGGCCTCTTCCTTCCTATGAGTGAATATTATTTAACTTAGGAGCAGAATTTGGCAACCATATATATTATGCCCATGCTGTGAGTTTTAGCCCAATATTTCAGCCTGCTGAAACATATTTTAAAATTTTTTATGGTACAATAAAACACAGATTCAAAAACCACACAAATCAAGTGAATGTCTTTTTTTTTTTTTTTTTTTTTGAGATGGGGCTTGTTCAGTTGCTCAGGCTGGAGTACAGTGGTGCAGTCATAACTCACTGTAGACTCAAACTCCTAGGATCCTCCTTCCCCAGCCTCCCAAGTAACTGGAACTACAGGTGCACGTCACCACATCCAGGTAATTAAAAAAAAAATTTTTTTTTTTTTTTTTTTAGAGATAGGGTCTTGCTATATTGCCCAGGCTGGTCTTAAACTCCTGGCCTCAAATGATACTCCTATCTCAGCCTCCCAAAGTGCTGGGATTACAGGCATGTAACACACCACCACAAAAAACTATTTTTTAGAAATTCTTTGTAGAGAAGGGGCCTTGCTATGTTGTCCAGGTTCGTCTCAAACTTCCAACCTCAAATGATCCTTCCACCTCAGCCTCCCAAAGTGCTGGGATTACAGACATGATCCACTGTGCCTGGCCTCAAAATTGATGTTTGAATTAAGAAACAAATACTCATTCTCTATAGATGATTTTGTTAGCAAACCTTAAAGGTCCAGCCCTATCCTTGAGGACAAAAATTACCAACTCAGAATCATGGACGGATAGGAATGAAAGCAACCAACCAACCCTCTCATTTCTCAGCCACAGAAACTGGCAAAGAGAAGGGAAGAGATTTGTTCCAGGTCACCCAGAAAGCTCTACCTTTGTCTTAGAAATTAAGCTCTTCCCCGGCATGAGCAAATCTTGGGAAAGTCGCCTTCATCATGACCTTGACACGCACTCAGGAGATGCTAGCCTATGTCCTCACCAGCCTGTGGACCAAACCAGCACTCCACCTGTCTAATATTCACCCCCAATCCGTAGCAAAAACAGTAGGGACCTAAATCACCAGACTTGCCCACAATCTTCAGGTTGTGGGAACAAGCGACAGACACAGACATACACTGTCAAAGGCAGGATTCCCCAAGACAGACCCCAGGCGGAGGTTAGCGTGCAGAATGCTTATTCTACCTGGGGAGGGGTGGGAGGCAGGTGTGAGCAGAGGGAGACCCCTCCCCCATCACTCATCAGATGCAGACCTTAGACGGCAAAGGTAAGATTCATAGGGCTCCGGCCAAAAACTGAAGCTCTGGACCAACGACTCTCGCGTCTTCCAGATGCGATTTGCTCACTGAAGGCCTTCCAGTGCACCTTGAGTGAGACGCTGGAACCCTGGGCTGGCAGGGATCACTGTGTGCCCTCACTTCCCAAGAGCCACCCACCATCCCAAGAATCCTGTGCAGAGGGGCAGCTGGATGAGAGCAGGTGAGAGCATCAGACCATCTGCCTCCTCCCCACCCCCATCATCTAAGAAAACGGAATCCAGCTCAGAGCACAGCCATGGCATTGCTGAGATATGACCATGCCTGGGGAGAACAGACTCCTCCTGGGGAATCTGTCCCCTGCCACTTTGTGAGGGCGAGGGTCGTGTTTTTTCCTTTCTAGGAATCTAATACATGCAGGGGTCTTTACATGCTGGCCAGATGAATGCAGCTTAGAAAAAACAACCAGCAACTTCTCTCCCTATAGTTATAGAGCGATCAAGCTGGGAGAGCCACAGAGAACATCACATCCCGGTTCTGCCAGTGAGGAAACTGAACCCCAGAGGCAGGACTATTTGAATGTTGCACAAGGGGCAAGGCACGGAAACAGGCCCCACACACAATCCCAGGGTGGCTTTTCTGCAGTGAAGTTTCTACTCCCAGCCTGTCTTTTTCCTGGGCTCAGACTCTCTGTCCCAGCCATCTGAGCTGAGGAAACAGAATCCCTGTCAATTGCCATGTAAGCTAAATGTAAGAAAATCAGCCCTGTGAATTCCACAGTCACATACAAAGAACTTCAGATTCTTTTGTTGTTGGTGGTGGTGGTGGTGTCTCACTCTGTTGCCCAGGCTGGAATGCAGTGGCACTATCACAGCTTACCACAGCCTCGGCCTCCTGGGTTCAGGCAATCCTTCTGCCTCAGCCTCCCAAGTGGTTGGGACTATAGGTGCATGCCACCATGCTTGGCTGATTTTTT